GATGAGGTCAAGGGGTGCGAACCTGTCTGGTTTCCCAGCATGCGGTTGCCCCTATGACCGTCGCGTGCCGACCCGGCGTCTGTCACCCCGGCGTTTTCCTGAAGGTTCGCCACGTTTATTACGGTGCGCGGGATGGTTAGGATGCATTCCCGCGCCTCCCTTTGGTCCCCCCGGTGGGTCTCCTCCCCATCGGGAGTTGGGAATTTGAGGGAGTAATGAAAGATGGAGACGGCGGCCTTCAGTTTATAGAGTGCCGTCCTGCCCAGAATGGCGTTGTACTCGCTTGGGCAGTCCACGATTTTGAATGTTTCTAAAATCGTCTTCGTGGGCTACCCCTTCTCCCCGAACCGGACCGGCAGCGTGACTAGTCCGACAGGGGCGACGGTCTGTCCGTTGAAACCCTGGATTCGCTCCCGGCAGGGCTGCACCTCTTTCCTATCGATACCCATCTTTTTGAAGGTCTCGTAGTAAAGGATGCTTGCATAGGCCCCCGTGTCGACCATGATGCGATGGATCTTTATCGCCATGATCGGTGCCGTGATCACCAAGGCATCGGAGTGTGGATGATCGAACAGGAAGGCGTCTTCATCGGTAAAGGTGATGGTGTTTGGGGTCGGCTCTAGCGCCGGCCTGCTGTTGGCGTGCATCACCCTTTGCCCGGCATGATAGGCCTGTCGGGCATAGGCCTTGGTTTGCCTCCTGGAAAGGAGGGAGTCACTCCGGCTCGTGTTGACGCGCCGTGTTGGGAGGTTGGCCGGGTCGGCCCCGGTACAAGGGGACCGGTCTCTTTTTCTGCCCCTGGAGGTGCCGGCCTCATCTTGATGGGTGGGGCAGAAGGTCATAATTTCGTGGGGGCCGCCCTGCTGCGGCTTTTTTCTTCGAGGATTCACGTCGGCATCCTCTTCGCTGTCCGGGCCTTCCTCGAAGCGGCCCCCTTTCTTCCTCTTCTCTCCGGAGTGTGTGAATCTCCGGAGTTGGGGGTCATCAATCAGCTTAAGCAGTGCCGAGATCAAGTTTCGGCACTGGTCGGTGTTGTGCCCATGCGCCTTATGGTAGGAGCAGTAGCGGGTCTTATCCACCTTGTCTTTGTCGGTGAACATTGGTTTGGGGTCTGGTAGCAACCCCTTGGCCTTGATCTCCTCGTAGACCGCCGCGGCTCCTACCGAGAAGACGCCTTGATAGCTTTCTTTCAGCTCCTCGGCCCTTTGTCTCCGCTGAGCCCGGATCTCAGCGAACGACTTGCTCGGTTTTCCCGATTTTTCTTCCTTTGCCTTCCCTTTCGCCTGCACCGGTGCCGGCGTGGCGTCGAACGTCGGGATGAATGAGGACTCCTCCGCCATAATATAGTCCTGAGCGCGGGTGAGGAACTCCTGGTAGGTGGTTGGCTTGTTTTGACACAGGGACCACCTGAACAGCGTCTCGGCCTGAGGCCACCCTGGGCCGTGATGAGCAAGGCGTCGGGGTGGCACCGCTCCATATTTTGGACTCGGTCGTTGAACCGGGCGATGTAATCCTTTAAACTTTCATTCTCGCCCTGTACAATGTTGGAGATGGATTCCTTGGGGGCGAGGTTGACCTACGATCCGATGAAGTGAGACCGGAACGCCGACCTGAGTTGTGCCCAGGTTGAAATGGAGTGGGGGTAAAGGGAATGGTACCACCTCTGCGCCTTGGGCCCCAGCGTCAGGGAGAACATGCGACAGCGCAGGGCGTCGGAGGCGCCGTGCAAGTCCATCCATGAGGTGTAGAGGCCGAGGTGGGAATCGGGGTCCGAGCTCCCATCATAGAGGCCGAGCTGGGGTATTTGTATTCCCTTCGGGACGGCTTGTTGCAGGATATCGGGGGAGAGAGGTGACGCGTTGTCCGCGACTCGGGGAGTCGGCCGAATGGAAGGTCGGGGATAGGCGGGGAGTGACAGCTCACTCCCTGAGGGGTGCCGACCCTCCAGTTCGGCGATTCGGCGTTTGAGGGCAGCGACCTCCTCGGTATCGTGCCCAATCGTTTTTCCGCGCCTGATTACTTCTCGGAGGTCGCGGTTGGTTTGACCCTTCTCACCTAGGCGCTGGTGGACAGATCGGCGGGCGACTTGAAGGCTTCGTCCCGAGCGACTTTCTCCCGTCTGCTCGGTTGGCGCCGGTCTGACGCTTTTGTCGCGGCCGGTCTGCGCCTCTCGGTTCGGCGATTGAGCAATGGCCTTAGACCTCGCCGGGTTCCTCTGCCCCCCGGCTTCTTTCTCGGGGATATGGAGCAGGGTGTTGCCGGCATTCTCCGTGGGCGGCACGGTGTTTGCCCCGGCAGCCTGACTGGCTAGGGCTCGAGCGAAGACCCCCTCAAGGGCCTTAAGGACGTCGGGGTGCTGCATGGCCGCAGCAAAGGTGGAAACAGGGGGAACAGGGACGATGGGCCCCTGCTAAACGCGACGGGAGGTCTCCCCGCCGTTGCGTCGGTGAGGCTGGGAGCCGGACTGCTGGGAGGACTCGTCATGTCCGGATGAAGGCATTTTGAGCTGCTTTTAAAAGTGAAAAGGTGGGAAAAGATGAGTGTGATGTGGAGTCTTCACAAGATCGAAAAATCGACACCAAGTAACTTATGGGCCCTCCTTCTAGCGCCAAACTGTTGACGGACGTTTCCGGTCAACGGTTAAAAAGTCGAGTAATGGAAAGAAAATAAGATAAGGACGAGGAAATACGGTTTAATTATGGTTTTATTAACGGATCACGAAGTCGGCCTCTCGTACGAGGTCGACACTTGCGATATACTTATAATGCTTACAAGAGTTTCTTACAAGTCTTAGAGAGAGAGAGTATGAGTTCAAGCCGTTGGGATTCAACAACCCAAAAATAAATGAGGGGGTTGCTATTTATAAGGGTTTTTAATGCGGTACTGTTCAGGTACTATTCACCAATCTTGTCGTACAGTAGTTCAGCGGGACAAGCCGGCGCTTCTCTGACTGATTGGGAGTGATTTCCGGATTTTCCAATCATTACCTGCTATGCATTTAATGCGAACGTGGGCTGCATTAAATGCGGACACGTTTTGGCTGAGTTGGACGTCCCATCGACAATCATTCGTGGACAAGTGGCATTATTTTATTGTATTTGACACCGTATTTCCATCAGGGGCCGCCCTTGTGAGACTTCGAATGGGGTGCCGACCCCATAGCTGCATGGGTGTGGTGCCGATCTCGGGACTGGTTCCTCCCGCCGTTCCAGACGACTTTGACTCTTATTCAGCTCGGCACCCACGTGCGGTTTTGGTGACCGGCTCCTTTGACTCGGCCGGCTGCCGTTCAGTTCTCAATCTATCGGACCGGTACCTCTGTTGGGGCCGGACTCGGATATTAACAATTTTTTTATTAAAATAAATTAATTTTCAACATGTAAATCATATCATGATTCTCGAGATATTTTTAATTAATTTGTAGATAATTATATGGTAAAAATTAATCCATGTTGCTAAAGTGGTATCTCATTTGACGTGAAAACAAATAGATTAAGTTTAAGTATTATACAATTTCATAAAATTGTTTTGGTCTTATGTACCGAAGAAATTGAATTGATTAGAAGTTTAGGTTGCAGAACAATCATTCAACAATTAATCTCGCATACTATTACACATTTTGTACAGGTTATTTTGAAAATAATGTTTCTATACTTTGTGGTCGTTATGAGAAAAACAATATCGATTTCTAGTTTTATAAGTGTTTATTATGCTTTTTTTATTGGATCAATTTTATTTTCTTTAAAGAATTTTGATATATTAGAGTTATGAAATGTGATTACAATATTACCATTAAAATTATATTAAAAATAATGACGTTTTTCAAAACAACAATTCCATATCCTATCAAACAGTTTTAGAGATATGTGGAAGAAACAAATTCGTGAGAAATAATGGTGCCAAATCAACATATTGTAATTGATTTTAGGAGTGTGGAATGATTTGTTCATGTATTTGTATTTAATTAATTAAATATTAGTTATAATTAAAAAATATAAGATATGATGGACATAAGTATGTTACTAATTTGCCATTAAAAACATGTCAAAGGTTTTTTAGGTAATTTATTTTTATATTTAAAAATATAAAATATAATTTATATTAGTGTATTACTAATTTGCCATTAAAAATATGCCAAAGTAAGAGTTTTTTAGGTAGTTCATATTTTTACAAAAACACTCGTCCTTTTAGAATAGTATATATATATATATATATATATATATATATATATATATATATAGATATAGATATAGATAGATATAGATATGGATTAATATTAGCCTTAGTGTTATTTATTTTGGACAAGCTAGTCATAATTAATTAAATTTACCAATTTTTACTATTTACAATATTCTCCTTCATTCCAAGTTCCAGTATTTCAATATGTTTCTCTAATTATTATTATTACAACTAAATACTTAAATAATGTGTTATCTCTTTATCTATCTTACGACTTATATCTTTGATTTTTGCGAGGACAGTCGGCTAAATGATAATGCAAATTTATCAGGCAACGTATCTGAGGCCCTGGCGTGTAAACCAATCCTATATCCTCTGTAAGTATCCAAGTTTCATTCATCAATAACAATGAGACGAGCTATAACAAATTATAATATTTTAAATTGGGGTTTAATGCACCAAATCTCCCTGTATTATACTAAATCTGCGCGTTTCCCTCCTTTAATTCAAAAATTGCGTCAGACCCCCTTCTATTAAGGGTTGACGAGCTGACGTTCCCAAGTTACATTTTAGTGTTAACTCCGTTAATTTTTTTTAAACTTCCCGTTATGCCCTCCTTTATTATAATATTTTACAAGTGAAATTGAAATTTCAATCAATCATAAACATAATCTCTCTTCGCGATCCACTCACTAAATTCTTCCCAAATTCAATAAAAAATCAGATCTCCCCTCATTCACGCCACAACCCTCCGCCGCCCCCTCCCCACTTTCTCTCTCATCCTCCAATTATTCACCAGATCGTCGATTGCAGAAACAGCCATGGCCGCCACGATCTTGTCCCCGTCCTCATCCTCCCCTCGCGGTGACGACGACCGCCACATCCCCACCGCCCTAGCCCTCCCTGCCGCGACCGCCGTCGTCGCCACCGCCGTCCGCCGCCTCCCTCCCCGCTGTTGGTCGCCCAACGAGACGATGGCCCTTATCGACGCCTATAGGGACAACTGGTGCTCCCTCCGGCGCAGCAACCTCCGCTGCGCTGCCCCGGCACGCCCCCGAAGACCACCTTCCAGTGCCGCCACAAGATGGAGAAGCTCCGCAAGCGGTACCGCCGAGCCATTGCGAGCGGCGGCGTTCGCCTGTATGCCTCGTCGTGGGCCCACTTCCAGGGGATGGACTCCATGGAGAAGGGATTCGGCGGCGATCCGTCCTCCTCATCCTCAGATGGCGAGGTTTTCAGAGATGGGGTTTTGGGAAGGAATGAAATTGGGAAAAGGGCCAGCGAGAGCGTGAAGAGAAAGAAAATGGATGGAAAGAAAATGGATGGTGGTAGTGGCAGTGAGGTGGCGGCGACAATTCTGCCCTTGGGAGAGGGGTTTATGAGAATGGAGAAGGTGAATGGATATGAGGAGGCAAATTGAAGAGATTAGGATGGAGATGGAGCTCAAGAGGACCCAAATGATCCTCGAGTCGCAGTAGAGGATTGTCGAGGCCTTTGCAAAGGCAATTACCGAAACAAGTGCTCACAAGAAGCAGAAAAGGATGCATTCTATGCCCAATTGCTGAAACGTCTCTCGAGGTAAAGTGAGCCACTTGGAGTTTCTTGTTCTGCTTGCCAAGTACAAGTATTAAAAAAAAGTAGCTGAAATGAAGAAGGGAAGGGAGTGGCTGCGCGAGATTATGGTCAAATATGGGGAAGAAGGCATTTAAATGGATGATTTTAAGGGTAAAAATGTAAATTCCGCGACTTTGGGTGAAAAGATGAAGAAACAGCCGCACAGCACGCACGTGCACGCCACTTCTGTTATCTTAGACGGTTTAGGGTGTTTCGCGCATGCAAAACCTTAATAGAAGGGGGTCTGACGCAATTTTTGAATTAGAGGGGGGAAACGCGCAGATTTAGTATAATACAGGGGGATTTGGTGCATTAAACCCTTTTAAATTGACATACTTTTACCAATGTATGTATCCAACTTCAATTGTCAACGAAATACTATTTCACATAAAAGTCTCACTGTTGGAGAAAATGGAGGGAAAGAGCTGTAAAAAGGAAGGAATTATTTTTTGTGCATTAAAAAAGAAAGGAATTTTGAATGAACAAAACGAACTCGAGCTCGACTCATTTATACATAGTATTAAATAGTCAATCTGTAGAAAACTGAACAAAAATCTATATTTTTTAGTCTTATCGAGTCGATTTCAACCGTTAACTAAACGAATTTTAAATGAGTTCGAACTTAGCTCGTTTATCGAATGAAACGAGTTGATTCACACTTAATAAGTTTAGCTTTTTTTATCAATGAACTGAGCTAAACTTGAGTGTGAGCCCGACTAGTTTCATTTAACAGCTGTAGAGAAAAAGGTAATAATTTTTTTCAATCAAAATTAATCTCGCTTTCCATTTATATTCTTCCATTTAATATTTTAAATTGAAATATTCTTATCACGCATTGATTGGAAAAAAATTGCACTATTCGTCCACTAACTATAGCCTAGTTGCACTTTCATCCTTTAATTGTTTATTTTTTACTTTTGGTACACTAACATTTTTTTTTTTTTGGTAATTTTATTCCAAATCGACATTCCAGTGCTCATTTTGCTGGAAAAGCTGACGTGGCGCCTAGTCAGATCTAATTTTTTATTCCCAGCGTGATGTGGCACGATACATAGCCAAGTGTTTGGACACATGGAACAAAATAATATAAGAAAATAAAAAAAATAAAAAGAAAATATTAAAAAATCCATGTGGATTAAAATCATTTAACAAAAAACAAAAAGAAAAAAGGAAAGGGGAAATCTCATCCCCATCAGAGAGCTGGCGTCATAGAAAGAAGGGGAAGAACATAGACGGACGAAGGCTGCAAGAGTAGATTCGGTGCATCAATTCCTTGCCAATGGCTCGCTTCGAAAGAAAGAACAGAGGACCTGATCTCTTCGAAGGAGATTTTTAATACGGTATACTGGAATTTGGCCCAACTTCTAGTCCACCGGGGCAGTTCTCTTATGGGCTCGCCTAGGAATCGAACCCCAAGCTTGCCGGAAAATCACCTCCGACCAAAGCCCGAACTCGGTCCGTCGGGGAATTCGAATACGATTCGATTTCAGCCGGAGTTTCAGAAAAATTGGGAGTCCTCCAGAGAATATCAAATCCCAAAATTGGGAGTCTCCGGCAGGCCTCAGAAGAACGCGATCTTGTATATCGCCGCCGCCGAGTCCTTCATCTCAGGTCAGGGCCCGGATCCGGTGGCCATTTCAACGACCCTGCAGACAATTTTTTTTTTCTTTTCTTTTTGTTTAACCCCTAATCCCGCCGGGTCCTTCAATCCCAAATCCCTTTATCCAATTTTTTTTTTCTTTTTTGTTTTTTGTTTAATGATTTTAATCCATGTGTCTTCACATGTGGATTTTTGTAACATTTTCTTATTTTTTTAAAATTTTTTAATAATATTTTGTTCCATGGGTCCAAACACTTGGACCCATCTCGTGCCACATCACACCGGGAATAAAAAATGAGATCTGACTAGGCCCACGTCAGCTTTTTCGACAAAATGAACACCGGAATGTCGATTTGTACTAAAATTACCAAAAAAAAAAAAAAATGTTAGTGTACCAAAAGTAAAAAATAAACAATTAAAGGATGAAAGTGCAACTAGACTATAGTTAGTGGATGAATAGTGCAATTTTTCCCACATTGATTACACACACGTACTGGAACTTGAGTGGAATGTTGCAAATTAATGGAAAAAATATTTAGTTATGTGTTATACTTATACTTGTATGCATCTTAGTGTTTTTGTACTTGTTACATTAATCAATATTATTGTTATATATGCAAGAATGTAACGGTAACCACACTGAAACTCCCCAACTGTTCTTAATTTTATGTAGTACTGCGAGTCTTGAGATTTTATATACTAAAACGATCGATGCTTAAATAAGGCTACTTGATAGTCGTCACTATCTTTATGTATTGTCCCATTCAGCTTTTCTGTTCACGTCTTACTTATATAATCTCTACGGATTAAGAAATATGTAATAGAATTTCAATGCAATGTGGCGTGTGCATATGCACTTATTTGCTACATATATATTTTACCTATGGTTGAATTTTCATCTTTCAGTGTTGTTTGTGAACTTCAATTTTTATCTTTCAGTTGACTGTGAGATTAAAATCCTCTTTTGGTTTGTTTAGCCACTTACGTTACATATTCTTCAATTTTCACAAGCGACTATCTCTTCTCTATCTCAAATTAAATCAAAGATAATTGCAATTTATCTTTTCTCTGTCTCAAGATTAACAACTAACTCTTTCGGTTGCTAATAAGATTTTAATTTTCTCGCAAGATTTTATCACGCTCTCGGTCTGTTTAGACTCTTACGTTACAAATTTCATAATTCCATCAAGAGAATATCTCCTTTTGGTGTCAAATCAATAACAAGTATGCATAAATACAAGCTCTAAACCCTTGCAATAAAAATTAATGCAAGGAGTTTATAAACAAAAGATACACTCAAATAAAGGTAATAAAAATCATTTCATAAATTAATTTGAATACTCACAAATTCTAGAATCACAAAATATTTAGCCTAAAAACATGGTTTTATGCTCATGATAATAAGAATAAACATTGAGTATTAAAAAAAATATATTCGGCTCTTCGATCTCTTCCTTCTTGATTTTTTTGCTTCTCTTGTGCGTATTTTACCGTTCAAAACTGTCCAAAATGTCTTCAACGTGTGCTCTAATTTCTTCTTAAATAGTTCGGGTTGAATATTTTTCAAAATCGGTAAGAAAAACACATCAAGAAAGAAAAAAAATGCTCTAATCGATTAAATCACACGATTGATGCTTCATGGCTTTAAACATCGCAAACGTACAGCCTCAATGTAGTAAGAATGTAAGCATGGCATCAATAAGAATGTAAGCATGGCATCAAAAATATTTGTAACGCCCCGTTATTTTTAAATAGATTTTTTTTCGGTTTTAAAAAAGAAGAAAATCAATTTTATGAAAAATAAATAATCTATCATTTGTCAAAATGAATACCCATTTGAAGAAAAATATTAATAGGGCATTACTCAAAACCATTTCATAATTACCACATTTCAAAACATTTCACACGACTCAGCGATTTCTCATAACATCATATCAAATCGACATCATCATCATCATTACAAAACCAAATCATCCAGTTTCAAATAACACCATAAATTTCAAAACATTCTCAATACCAAAAACATGTTTATCAATAAGCAGAAATCATGAACAGTCGAATCATAAAACAATTTAAGGGACCAGCCACCACTCGTCTTCTATCGCCATGCCAGCCATCTGCTCAATATGAAATGGGGGATCATTGGAGTGAGTACACAACTTGCTCACTACTATGCACATAAACCAAATATAAATGATAGATTGGTAGGGTCGTAGCATGAACATGAATCAATCTTCATATCACATCCCCTAAACATATAATATTCATGTACTGATACAACCTAATTTCAAGCCCCCAGGTAGACCCGGCTAATTGACTCTTCTTTCAAGCCCCCAGAATCTAACTAGCTAATTAGCTATTATACGGCCCCGACTTCAAGCCCCCAGGTAGACTCGGCTAATTGACTCTTATTTCAATCCCCACAATATACCCGACTAATTAGCTATTATACGCCGTTAACCTAAGTTCATGAACATTAGTCTATAACATATCATTATCCGACTAATAGGAGTACATGTCAAAAGCCTCACATCACACAACGACATGGCCTTTCATTAGGTCTTAGGGAGGTTGCCTTTCATTAGGCACTGTATTACATCGGCGGGGATAACCGTTCGACGGCCAAAGCAGCACACATCGTAGGTTACATGGTTCACATGCATACATTGATCACACCATCCAACAAAATATAGACAATTTACGGTATAGAAATTTAAATAAACCACCTGTTTTGGAAATGACCGGAAGGGACAAAAGTAATGATCACGGTAGGTTCGAGGGCTCGATTCCTCGAAAACTTAAAATTTAGCAAGATAATATATATAAACAAAATTATCTCTTTTACTCGAAAATTAACGAATTAATTTATCACCTAAGGATCCAAACGTACGATTTAAAAGAGGGTTTCGAGACTTACTGCACTTTAGGAATCCACAAGCAAGAAGGCACGGATCAAAAATAGTTTGATAATCAGTTTGAAGCTAGCTCATCTATGGACGTCTTTGACTCGGCCCAACTAACACTCCAATAAAGACAAAACATGTAGCTCAATTCAAACCCAAATTTTACCTTTTCTTTGCTCTTTTATTTCTTTCTTCTTCTCCGCGTATATTTCTCCCTCATATCCCCAAATTTTTTCTTCTCAAATTTCTTTCTCCTTTCTTTGGCAATCGCAGAACCCAAGCTCACGTCAATAGAAAATCTCGAAAATCCTTCTCTTCTTCACTCACCCGCGTAGGCTTTCCGGCAATAGATGTTGGCGACAGAATGACAATGACCGAAGGATGGCGGCGGCTCGCACGGTACGCGAATCGGACCGACAGAGGCTGTGGCCGGTTGAATTGGTGCAGCTTCCGGGTGCTGCTATCGGAGGTGGTTTACCGGATTGACCCTGCGAGCTTGTGGTGGCTGACGGGGATGTACGAGAACGCTGGAGAAAGGGGCTGGGCTATAATCGATTGACTGCTTCCTGAGGGATAGGTATCGACGACTGCGGCGACGACTCGCACAATCCGTCGCTTGGCAGATTCTGAGAGCGGACGGAGTCGACGGGAGGTTGAGGGGCGAGGGAGCAGGCTCGCCGAGGGTAGGTGGTCGGCGATTCGGGAAAGTGACGGTTGAGGCGGTCCGTCGGCTACTGGTGGTGAAGAATCGTGCACCTGCGAGGTCTTATCGAGTGATGGCGGTGGTAGAAAGGCTGTTATACTCGGCCGTACGGGGTAACTCGCGTGTTCGAATTTGGCCGTGAATGGCCCAACTTTTGTTATCGAAGGCCGGAATTGCTGTGCTCAGGGGCGTAGCCAGAAAAATAAAATACCCTGGGCTGATCGATTATAAGAATAATTTAAGACACGTGGTAAAATTTAGAAAGGAAAAATAAAATATAAATTTTAATTAAAAAACTCATATAAAATGATTCATGTTCATTACAACTATTAAAAAAAAAATTACCTATTTAAGATGCGCCCTCCAATTCTTCATATTATAAAACTCATCATCGAATCTGTGTCGATTTTCGAAGTAAACTCTTGTTCAATGTAGACAATCATAGTATTCGCCAAGAAGTCTTCTTCCATCTTATTTGGAAGAGGAGTTTTGAGAAGTTTCATAGCTGAAAATGATCGTTCGATTGTTGCAATAGAAACGGGAAGCGTCAAAATGAGGCGAATCAGTCTGTCAATTAAATGGTGATGTCTTGCCTTCTCCGTCTCTACTAACCGTCGACATAAATCAGAAATTGTAGAAATATTTTGGAACTTCTCATGCTGGACAACATCAACCCTATAATGCTCTAACTGACTCCTCAAATAATGTAGTTCTTGCCCACTAAAATCATTAGGATAGAATTTCTCGGCAAGAATATAAATATCATCGGCATTGAACAACTTAAAGTTATCCCGAGGATCTAATGCAGAGCTGAGCCGGAGAAGTTCTACAGCTCCATCATTAAATCTGCTACGAAGCTCTTCCAATTGAAAATCTATCGTCGCATTGAATACATCATAGTGATAATGATGTTCAATTGTTGTGGGAAACTTCTGTTGGCAAAAACGTCCTCTAGAAGATCGATGACAAGCACTCATATCCGGTATCTCAATGTCATTTTCTTCACAAAATGTTTTCACGTATTTAAGAAGAGTATCGAAGCCATCTCCTCTAAGAGTACAAAGCAAAGATTTTGTAGTTGACACACAATCCATTGCGCTTAAAATATCCAAAGACTTCTCTTGCAAAGATTGACAAAGCTCTCATCACAATTAAAGCACCAATAGCTTCCCCACGTATAGAATTAGAAGATGCTTCCTCCGTCATATGCTTAAGCACGATAATCACAGAACGATACATATCTATCACACTGCAAATGGACTCAAAATGGGAACTCCAACGTGTTTTTCCAGCTAGTTGCAAAGTTGTAGTTTGGTTAAGTCCTTTACCTATTTCACATAAAACAAATAAAAAAGTCAAATAAAAATTCAATGTAATCACAAATTAATGGTGATTAAAAAATAAAATAAGAAAGCAATTGTA